GCCCAATGCGTGGCTCCATTTCATGACACTGAGCTCATGACCTGAGCTGAAATCAAGAGTCAGACCCTTAACCAACTACGCCATCTAGGCACCCCCTAACTAATCTTAAAGCACTGTTTTCACCACCACATGACTCTCTGTCATGTCTCTTCTACCCTCTCTGTCCCCTTTTTTTAAAAGATTTTATTTATTTATTTATTTATTTGACAGAGACAGAGACAGCAAGAGAGGGAACACAAGCAGGGGGAGTGGGAGAGGGAGAAGCAGGCTTCCTGCTGAGCAGAGAGCCCGATGCAGGGCTTGATCCCAGGACCCTGGGATCATGACCTGAGCCAAAGGGAGATGCTTAACGACTGAGCCACCCAGGTGCCCACCCCACCCCGCCCTTCTTCCTTTCATTAAATAACACTCTTCATCACAGCCTTTAAACCAATGTCCTCACCTTACCTGCCAGTTTTTCTTATCCATCTAACTCAGGGCTTTTTTTTTTTTTTTAAATCTGGGATGTAGAGATTTTTCAGACTAGATTTTGTTGTCTGTGAATGCCTGAATGTCTATATAAAATCGTGTGTATGTGTGAGTTTTTCCTGAGAGAAGATCCATTTTGACAAGCAACCCAGAGGACCCAAGATACCACGGAGGTGAATACCCTTCCTATCTTCAGTCTGGTCTTCCTCATGCCCTCTGCCAGGGCTCCGTGTGCCTCCCTGACCTTGGTAGTCCTGCCGTTCATCCCGTTCTCTGTCCTCCAACACAGGAGCCCTCCTTCAAGGCTAGCTGAAGACCTACCTCCCCCACTCACCCCACTGATGCTCTTTACCCCTTCTCTGGCTCCAAGAAATGGCAGTCAAGTGCTGAGGCACCACCACATGACTGTGACACGCCCTCCACATTTCACGATGTACGTTGGCTCCCCTGAGGGAATGACAGGCAAGTTCCTCTGGTGGGATCTGCCGATATTTGAGCACCCCTCCAGCCCACACATGAGTGGGGTTCGTGAGGAAGAGGAGCTGGGTGCTGGGCAGGACGTGTCCATCACAGACTGACAGCGTTTCCTTCCTCAACTAGCTCAAATTTATTAACATGCTTCAAAGCATTATCTCCCTCGGGGCAAGAGGGGCAGAGAGGATGAATGAAGAGGTTTCTAAAGCAGGACTCTTGAAGTCAGTTTTAAAAATAAAACCAAACAATCGTAAAAAGAACACTTATCCAGGCGCCCCTCATTTGCAAACCAAATGGCTGGCAGGTGTGTTCTTCTGAATCATCTTGGAGGAGTCATTCTAAATGTGTGCAGCTTCCTCCAGCTCATGGCCCACACTGGGGTCTACACGGGGTATCTTTTGATTGTGAAATATGATCGGTTCTGGGCAATCCTACCCACCTGCGTACTCATCTGCCCCTCACCGTGAGCCCTGCTTTTGAAATCTCCACTCTGAGTACAGACATGCAATAATAGACGTGACTTCCTCTTCTCTGATTCCTGGTGTGCCAAATCATAAATCCTGAATGTTACAATTGTATTAATGGCTGGTCAGGCAGGTGTGATGAAATGAATACTGGGTCATCGACACATTAGCTGCAGACGGAAAACAATTAAACAGAGTGGGGGGGGCAGGAAGAACATATTAAAAAAGCCACAGATCTGGCTTGATTGTGGTCCCTTCAATTTGGAGAAACATGACCATTATCATCAAAGGTCAAAGTCAGTTATTGGTACAAAAATCAATAAAGTTGAGGTGGGGGAGGAAGGGATCGAAGAGATAAATTCAGGACATGTCTTCTAGATTGAAGGGACTTGGTGAAAATCTATGTATTTTAAACTCTTGGGAATAAAGCTGCTTGTCAGTAAACTGAACTGTTCATGTAGTTTTGTGGGTTCCTGCTATGAATAGGTTTTAAAGAATTATATCAGCGCACACTAGGAAAGAAAAAGAGCAAGGAGAGATTTTCAAGTTGCATCTGCTTTATCACCCATTTTGTTGGATTCTTAGAATCAGACATTTGTGGTTATTGTTTCTTTATGAAGGCAATCGATGGGCATGTTCTACCTCTCTGTGCCAATTACTGCAGAGGATCAGAAATCCTCTGGCAATCTGAGGCTAACAGTTCCATTATGTTTGTGTAAGAAACTAGAAAAGAGATTCTAACTTTTGAACCCAGACCCCATGTCTGAATGTATTACTCTTAACACGATGTGTACTGTCTTGACTGAATGTTAGACTTAAAACATCTGCTCATTTCTTGGGCGCCTGGGTGGCTCAGTCAGTTGAGCGTCTGACTCTTGATTTTGGCTCAGGTCATGATCTCAGGGTTGTGGGATCGAGCCCAACATCAGGCTCTGCACTCAGCGGGGAGTCTGCTTCTCCCCTTTTCCCTCTATCCTCTGCCCCTTTCCCTGATTGCACTCTTTCTCTCTCTCAAAAAAAAAAAAAAATTCAAATTTGCTCATTTCTGCCCCTCCCCCTGCACCACCAGCAGTGATATAAGTACTGCCAGTTTTCCAAGTGCAATCTGTAGACCATCCTGCGCCGGGAAAGGTGCCATGCTCTGGCAAACAGGGCATTATGTAGCATCCTTTCCCATTAAGGGTACACGGGTGGTCTATCTCAAAGTGATTACATTTGCCATTTCTTAGCTGCCAACAAATGTATTTACTCATTAACACTTGATAGGTTGAGTGCTCCCAAAGAGGGCTACTGAGCAATTAAGTATGATTCAGATGAATTCTGAAGGCACCAGAAAGTGACTTCTCTAATGGCAGTTTTCTTCAAAGCATGATCTCCCTCGGGGCAAGAGGGCCAGAGAGGATGAATGAAGAAATGCCAGGTGAGGGGCCTCCCAGAGGACTCTGGGGGTTTTAATCTCTACTTTGGCTGGCTGTTTAGTCACAGTAATCTAGAGGCCCTCAATTTTGAAAATTCCAATAAGATTTAACTTTAGGTTCGTGCTATTTGTGAAAACATGGGCTGAAAATCAGGAACTTAGTATTTTGTGTATTTTATGATCAAATGTCCACATATATTTATAAAAACTGCTAATTCCAAGTTATCATCAAATTTATTAAATCAGATCTGTTATGACGCTTACTTTAGAATATTTTGGAATCCATTAGCAGGTTTTTAAGGAACTAACAAAGGGTTCCTTTGAAAGCATCGATTGATTCAGTGTGGAAGAAGCAGGGTACAGGAGAAGGCAACCAGGACTGGACTCAGAGGCCCCGGACACACGTCCTCGCTCGGTCCCATCAGGTAAGAGTTTGCGCTAGGTGCTCACTCTCTTAAGACCTTAGCAACTCCTATAAGGGTCTGCTTCCTGTCAGGTTCCAGCTGGGCATGCTCCATGTGACCTTTCTTCTGACTAGCCAAGTGACCCTGGAAGGAGCCATTACTGACTTCATTTCAGGGGAGGAAACATGCTGGAGGTTAAGTAGGTGGCCTAAACCCAAGTGTAGAATCACAAATGGTGATGAGACTGTGGACTCTATGTATGGCGCCACCCAGGTTCTGGCCAAGGCTGTCAGCATTAGGAGGACAAGGCCCCACGGTGGCTCCATTTCAGCCACGTTTGGAGGTTTCTACCCCAGAGCTCTGCTGTCCAAAACTACCAGTAGGGGATAGTCAAATGAAGCTATTTAAATCAATACTAAAATCTAAAACTCAGTTCTTCATTCACAGTACTTTTTGAGTATCTACTGGTGGCTACCATAACAACCAGCACAGATATGGAAGATTTCCACCATTACAGAGAGTTCTACTGGATAGTGCTGCTCTAAGTGTTGGCATTCTGCTCACTGGCTACAACCTATGACTCATTAACTGAACCTGACCTTGGTCCTTTAGCTCCTTCTTTCCTCTTGTGGTCCATCAAACACCTCCAACCCTCCTGCCTCTAAGCCTAGACTTTCTAGACGCGATTTTCTTGGCATCCTTTATTCTCTTGCTCCTTGATATTCTGTTGGGCAGCCCCTGCCAATCCCTAACTGTTGGCAAGTCATATCCTTTTGATTTCCCTGCTCCTGTTTCTGGGATGTAACGCAATACTGGAAACAATGATAAAATAATAAAATGAAGAGAATGCAGTGCTCACTTCGGCAGCACATATACTAAAATGAAGAGGATGCATGCTCTCGACCCTAACTGGGTCCTCCCTGCTTCTCAGCATTTCTTTGACTCATCTAACAGATGCACTAACACATCCCTTATGATGCCTCTTTCCCAATACCTCAGACCTTCCAGGATCCTCATTCTCCATACATGACCCACCTCACAGTCAGTGTCCCAGGAGGATGATACAGAACCTGTTGCCATGAGCTTCTCCAAGTTCCTCTAGGTTTCCTTTAGCCCAAGTGATCTACCAACTGCTTTCCACCCGGGAGCACTAATTGCCTGCTTTCAGATCTTTGCTCATGTCTCTGCCAGTCAGAAGTTCTCTTCCCAAGCCCACCTCTGCCACAAAGCAGTTTTTGGATCATCCCATCTGAAAGCAACTTCTGTCTTCTCCAAATTTCTCTAACATTTTCTCTGAACCTCTCACACAAATTTCTAACTGGTGTTGCTTGTAATAATGTACAGGGCACCCTGTCCCTTCCCCACCAAGCCACAACCATCATGAGAGGGGGTGCTTGATGGATTCAGCCTGCACCCCTGGCAGCAACTAGCATGGGTCTTTGTATAGATAATGCGCAGCACATATTTATTTAGTGAATACCTATATACCTACTTATGAAGATATCAGATTAATTCCTAAGGTAGACAGATTTAATTTAATAATGAACTGATGAATACACTTCTTTTAATGATCACAACATGGAGTTCTAGCTAAATGATTGCATTACCAGACCTTCTGATGGGAAAACAAGGGGGGTATTGATGATGAGAACTATAATAACGGGGCTACAGCAGTGTGGAATATCATTCTTGGGGGGAGGTGTGGCACAGGGACAAAATGACAGAGAATGGGCAAACAACCAAAGAAAGACATTAAAGCTGTAATAGACTTACCTTGGGTAGCAATATAATGATTGGGTCGATGATAACCCTAAAAATAAATGAGAAAGAATATTTCATCAACTTAACATCGACAAGCAGCACAGAAGTTACACGGTAAGTCTGTCACAATGAATGCTTATACAAATACCAACAATTGCGTCAGTTGGAAGTTGAATGACCATACGCAGTACCACAGAGAAGCATCAACACATCAGAGTTCTGTTGCTTACACAGGAGGTGGAAGTAACTTAATCATACACTGGCTATGAGATGATAGGTGAGCAATAAATACTAACAACTTATGGATTCTCTGAAATAACATGACCACAACTCTTGTTAGATTGCAAACAGGCTGGGAACGTGCAATAGGATTTCATTTGTGTTCAGGATGTTATTGGCAATGTGCCAAGGGCTTTAACGCATATTCTGTTTTCCCGTTATAGGCAGTTATATCAATAGTGATACTGAACATCATTCTTAAACACTGCTAATGCCACGCCATGCTGCTGTAGCAAGAGCCAGAAATTTGAAGAGGTAGAAATTCTGCAAGTCCCCTTCCTTTTATCATGACTCTGTGAGAAGGGGAAAGATGAAAATTGGGACCAAAGAAAGAAGGGAACAAAGAACACTGGAGGATCAATATCTGGGAGAGATAAAACCAATTTAGAGAAAATTACACACAGGTAACAGAATATCACCATGGACCTTAATACTTTCCATTTCTGTCCCCCGAGATTACCCAAAATATGTGCCCAAAGCCAGATGGGAACCAGGAGAAACTCGGAGAGGAAATACAGATTTCTCAGACAATAAATGCATATCTGTTAGATTTTTTTGCTCTTAAAAATAAATCATTGATAATGAACAGCAAAAGCAAACACATTCTTTACATAACTGACCTGCTGTAGGTCTCAAAGATAGACCCTTGACGGATATTAAATAGGATTATTAAATGATCACTCATTTCTTGCCAGCTGATAAGCGCTACAAAGCAAGACCCTGTCTGATGTACGGCCCCATGAGTCAGCCCTAGCAAGGCTAGGAGAGAGGAGGAAATCATTTACAAAATGGAAATAATTCACACAGCCCACGAATGACCTGTACTGCTAAACACAACGGTCATTTCTCTGTTCTCATCTCTGTGACCTGTCACCATCTCCGTGACACGATTAATCCCCCCTGACTGAAATACTTTCTTCTTTGCCTTCTGGGATATGATGCTCTCCTGGTTTTCTTCCTCCCTCCCTCCCTGGCTTGTCGCCCTCATTCATTTGCCCATTCCTCCTCTTTGCCTTGATGTTGATGTTGGAGGGTCCTGTTCTTGGACTCTTTCCTCATCCACATGGACTCCCTTGGTGATCTCATCTGGTCCCGCAGCCTTCAATGCCATCTGTATGCTGATGAGTTCTGTATCCTCACCTCTAGCCTGGGCTCCCCCGACCCCCCAAATCCTGATGTGGGATAATCTCCTACTCAGCACTTCCACTTAGATGTCTAACATATATTTAAGGATTAACATATCTAAAAGTGAATTCCTTAATTCCTCCCTACCTCCCACACGAATCTGCTCTGTCCAGTCTTCTTTCCAGATAATGGCAATTCCATCTCAAAAGGCATCCTGACACCTCTCTTGCTCCTACACCCCATAGATAATCTGTCAGCAAATCCAGGGCTCTGAGTTGAGCGTGGGTCCAGGATCCTACCATTTCTCATCTTCCAGGGCCACCACCTCCCCGCTCTCTCGCTGCTCCTGTAGTCACCTGGGAGGTCTTCATGCTTATATTCTCACCCATCTATGGTGTGTTCTCCTCTATACTTTGGGATCCTATCACCCCTCTGCTCAGATCCTCCAGTAACTGCCCATCTCACAGTAAAAGCCCACGTCTGTATGACTGCTTACATTATCTGGCCCTACAACCCCTCAGACCTGCTCACCTGTGACTCTACCCCCTCGTACCATGCCACCAACCCTTGCCTGCTTATTTCACTTCAGATTTGCCAGCCATGATCCAGAGCAAGGCCTATCATGGGCTTTTTCTCAGTCTGGAATGCTCTTTCCCTGAATACCTGCACGGCACACAACCTGTCAATTTCTCCGCTCAAATATTACCTTTCAGTAGAGCTCCAGCCACTCTATTCAAAAATTACAATCCATCTCCAAACTGGTTCTCTGCATCCCCCTGTTACAGCCTTCATTTTCTCCGTCATACATACTACCGTCTAGTATACCATATAGAATTAACTGGCTTAGTTCATTTATTGTCCATTTCCTCCGATGAGAGCACCAGTTCCACTGGGTCAGAGGTCTGCTTTTGTTTTTGGTCTGAATTGCTCACAGTTATAACTCCAGTATCTACAACAGTAACTGACATATAATATAATAGGCTGCTCAATAAAATCCTATTGACTAAGTGAATAAAGGAGCCCTGAATACTGACTCTTTTCTCTGTTAAAATTAAAACTAATTAATCCGGTATTTTCATTACTTTTATGTCTTTCCTCCTCTGCATCTCTACCCACCCATTCTTTAGAGCTTAGTTAAAATCACTTCTACCACAAAGCCTAATCTGATTACATTTACTCCTTCAGGCAGTGATTCATCAAACACTTATTAAGTGCTACAGTACTGCAGGTCTGTGCCCAGTGCAGGGGATACAAAGATGATGTAGGATAATGTCCCTGTGCTTAAGGACTCTGTGGGGGGGCTCTAGGAGCTGGGACTGGAGCATAAACAGGATTCCCATGGAATCTCTCAAGGGAAGGAGTGTTACAGAGAAGATTATTTCTTACTTTAGCTTCTAAACTGTGAGGTCTTGGGGAGAAGGTAACAGGTCTTGGACACCTCTGAATACTCCCATAAGGTACTCACTAAATGTCTGCTGGATAAAGAAATAAGTACAATGTACTTTAGGAAGAAATTATGCTTTAATAGAAAAAAAATCTAACTTGGGTTGGGTATGTTTTGGGTCATTATGAAATGTAGCGGTGTAGGGGTCTTCTTCTGAGGATGGGATGTGAATTATTCTTCAAACAGTCATCCCGCAGGCCCCACCCTCAGATCCATAACCAAAGTTGTCAAACCTTTCCAAGTAGTACTAAAAATAACATTTCTTCTGGTTATGATGCTAGTACTTTTAGTAGCATCTGATTTATACTCAACCAAGAAAATATAAGA